AAATATGATGCTATTAAATAACAGTAATACAACACATAAGAAACGCTGCCATATCGATATTTTTGACAGCACATCAAAATACGCTACGATAGGCCGGGGGTCTACCATAGCTGCGGCTGTCACGGCGTTCTTCGAAACGCTACGAAAACCATATTATAGCGTTTTCACGGTGCTACTAATACCCATATTTCTTGTAGTGATCCGTCCACTGCCATGAGAGGGAGGTGATCGCTGCTCTGTGAAACCAGTCTCACGCATTGCCCTCCCCTCTTTAGGAACCGCCTGAGTCAAGCCTTCACCCAACACACGGATCACTCCCGGCTTGGAGCGGACAGTCCAGAAGATGCCACAACAGGACCGACCGGTGGGCCGGGCCAGTGTTCCACCATCTTATTGTCCCCACATGGGTCACAAACCCTTGTTACTGAGCTCGACCTTCTACAGTTCTAACTACGACAAAACCCCTTAAAGAGTACAGATAATTGAAACTAGAGAAAACCCTAGAAGAAAGAAAGATGACGCAGAAGAGCAATCAGTTCAAGGGCCAACAGAAGAAGAAGAAGACTGTTGCTCTTAATCGCCATGGCAAATCCGTCCAAACTCGCAAAGGTATATTCACTTTTCCGTAATCCGGTCACGTTTCTGTTTCTCATCCTCTTCTTCTTGCAGGGAGGAGATATATGAAACCATCGAAGACAACCCAAGAGTTAGACACCGACCGGGTATCTTCTATTTTCTTGAGTTTATTTGATCAAGCTGTAGCATTTTTTTTAATCAAAGTAAAATTGTCCGTATTGATTTTTTTTTTTTAATTGGAGCAGGAGCTTACGAAGTTCATAAACCATTGCAATGAAGTGAAAGCTGCCAATGCTGCTTGTAAAGAAGGTGGTCAACTTAATATCCTCAAAGCTGAGTCTCAAGCCGAGCCATCCAAGAAGAAGTCTACCAAGTAGACAAAACAAAACAGTTGTTAAAACTTTTTGTAATTCTCACCACAATTAATGGTTTTTTTAAAAAAAAAAAAAAATCTTGGAATCATTTATATTGTATTGTTTCCAGTTAGGCCTAGGCATAAAATCCGAAACCCGAAATCCGAACCGAACCCGAACCAAAAAACCCGATCGGTTATCCGACACGAAATGTAAAAATATCCGAATGGGTCTTATAGGATGGTATAAAAAAGTCTGAATCCGAAGTGTTATTTAACTGAACCCGAACGGATAACCCGAAATATCCGAAATCCGAACCAAACCCGAACCAAAAAACCCGACCGGTTATCCGACACGAAATGTAAAATATCTGAATGGGTCTTATAGGATGGTATAAAAAAGTCCGAATCCGAAGTGTTATTTAACTGAACCCGAAAGGATAACCCGAAATATCCAAAATTAATAGTTAATATAAATATTTTATATATATATATATATATATATATATCTAAACAGTATGGGTGTGCCGACAAAAAAAAATATATCTCTATAATATTATTTGAGACGTCACTTTCTTAGGTGTCGCGCTCATATTAACTCTCACGTTGGTTGATTACTATGATACCCCTAATGAATTAAAATACAATTAAATATTATTTCCTTTTTAAAATTTTCCAAATAACAATTTAAAATAAAAAGGAAACATTTATAAAATTTAAAAACTATTTAAAAACGAAAATATAAGTATATATAATATGGTTTAATGAAAAAAGGAAAGTTCACAAAATAGTAATATTTAATTTAAATATATTTTAAATAACATAAAATATACCTTTGAAGTTTGAAGTAATAAAATACTTTATATCTATATCTTCTTAAATAAAAAAAACAATATATGTATATAGTGTGATTTCATAAAAACAATTCACACAAAAAATATTACTATTAGAAAAAGAAATATTTTTTCTTTAAGAAATATAATTTTAAACAATAAAATTTATTTATTTTCAAAATAATTATTTTTGTATATATCTATCTATTTTATTATATGATTACATAAAATAATCAACTAAAATAAACTAATATATGTTTAATTGATATTTTTTTATAATTAGTATTATTGAAATTATTTTTTTAGTAAATTTGTTTGACTATAATATCTTACAATTACAGTAAAAATATAAGTTTTATTTTACTTATATAGTATAATTTCTCAAAAACAATCACTTTTTACTGAATATTTTAAGAGATGCTAAAAATAAAACTAAAAATAAATTTAATAATAAACATCTTTTGATCAAGTAATTACGAGGTAGATATATTATATTTTAATAGTTAAAATTATCTGTTTTAAGAATAAGGATTCTAATTTACTTAAGTATATTGATTATGGTTATATTAAGTTTCACAAACATAAAAACAGAAAATAACTACAATTATTTTAAAATACCATAACACTATGTAATTTAACGAGGTAGATATATTATATTTTAATAGTTAAAATTATATGTTTTCTTAATAAATCTTTTGATTATTAATTTTCTGTTTTTATGTTTGTGAAACTTAATATAACCATAGTCAAAATACTTAAGCAAATCAGAATCCTTATTTTTAAAATTATTTAAAATAAATTTCAGTTTACCATCCAATCTATCTAAAGCATAAATTTATTTAGAATTTATAAAATATTTTAATTATTGTAAATATTGATATGAGTTCAAAAGCTTCTAAAAATTCATTAGTTACTTATGTATGTAATTTAGAATTAGACACTTTAGTTTTTATTTATTTTTCCTTCTAAGCACAAAAAAATCTTAAGTTATATATAATCTTACTAAATATACTTATATCTCTAAAATAACAACCAGCATAAATGCAAATAAGACAATTAATCAAAAATTTAATATATTTAAAATATAAAAGATTATATTTGAATTCGGAGAAATAGATAGAATCCAATATATCTAAATGATAACTAAATCGACCGTAAGAACAATAAAACAGACTAAATATAACATATCTAAAATTATTTATATAGTTAAAGTGATATAATATAATAATATAAATTAGACATACAAACTATAAATTAATTTAAAAAATTAAAGTAAATATCAATCAATTATTATTGTATATTTATTTTATAAATATACATGTCCGTGCATGAGCACGGGAAAATCACCTAGTATATAAATATTTTAGATATTCAGTTTAATGTTTATTTTGATATGATACATACAAGAAATATTAAAATATAAATAAATACCTTAAATATATAATTAGTTATAAATAAGTACTTTGTAATTTTTTCATTAAAATAATAAATTTAGTTTATATGTAAGGTAATGCACATTGTTTATAAGTGATGTATGTTTTAATGACTGATTTATCATTTTTTTTTTATCAATTTTATGTATTTATGATTAATTTATATTCAGTTTCAGTGTTTTTCTTTATGTTTTTGTTTCGAAATTTTGTTTTATACTTCCGGTATATCCAAACCAAACCGAAATAACCCAAATCCGAACAATATATGATTACTTTACGGGTTTTATGCTGCAATACAAATTTGAATCGAACCCGAAGTGTTATTATCCGAACCCAACCCGTACTAGTAAAATATTAGAATGGGACCTATGAGTGTAAACCTGAAAATCCGAAAAAACCGATCCTAACGCCAACTGGTACCCGAACGCCGGGCCTATTTCCAGTATTGTCACAAAGACACAAAGTAATGCTATTGTTTCCGGTTTTGTCTCAAATACAACTATAACGACATCACGAGTGATTGAAATTCCATACGCTTATGAATTTACCACTGTGAGCTGTTACTACCTTCTTCATTCCCATTGCTATGCAGCTGATTTGAGGCCGAGTTTTCCTTTCGATTCTATCAATTTCAACGTCTTCAGATACTCTTTTTCCTCTCCTTTTCTCAACCACCACTTGGGTTTGCCTTCTCAGGACTGTTGAAACTTTGTCGTCCATTATACAGCTAGACAGAACTCTACCACTCTTCTGATCAATCACTCGTAGCACACCGTCTATTCCACCAACAACCATAACCGATGTATCGTTCCTTAACTGTTGTATTGAGTACACCACATTAGGACTCACTCGATTTTCCCACACCTGTCTCATTTTCCTGTGATAAAGCTTTTGTTACAACACATCTCAAGATAGTGCTATTGTAGCATCTTTGATACAAACACAGCCGTTTCTTAATAGCATACCTGAGGTCCCAGCATGAAACATATCCAGCAGTTGTTCCAGAGAAGGCGAGATTGGAGCCTTGGTTAAAAGAGATGGTTTGTATACCTGTGAAGAATGAGAGGGGTTGCGTTTAGGCATTCTCACTAGACATGCAATATGTATTGGAGTTTTTGAGTTTACCTCCTGCAGTAATGGTGGATTTAAGCGTAGCCACTGGTTGATCCATTAAAGGGTCAGACACTGTTACTCTCCCGAGCGAAGACCCGCTAAGAAACAGTTGATTGTCGCTCAAAGATAAGCATGTTATTGGCCCACCGTGAGTCCTGCCGTCAGATAGTTTACAGAATTTGATAGGAAAATTGGAATTTAGAGTCTGAGAACAATTTTTATAATAGACACAGGATGCGTATCGACCATACCTAATGATCTGTGAACATGTCTTACTGTACATATCAAATACACGAGCTGATCCATCCTCGCATCCAACTACAGCTTCTGGGTCAATGTAACTGGTTGATAAAGAATACAAAAATCATCATTGGCATAGATAGATAGAGAAGCGAATCCAACAGGGGCACAATGGTATCCAGGTTGTAGTATCATTGCAGGAATATCACTGTAACTGGAAGGTTCTAAATATTCCAAAAGTATGTTTTGGACTTACCGCATACAAAGTCCCTTAGGAATCGTGCCTTCACGGGATGGAAAAATGCTTCTTTGTCCATTTCTCCTCCATATGCTAATCCGAGTACCAATCAAGCCAACAATCTCAAAAACAAAAATATTCAAAAGTTAGAATTATGCTATTGCTCAATATAGTTAAGTTTTCCCAGTTTCTCGAGTTTATATAAACAATAACATGAAAACAGCCAAAAGGAAAAACAAATTACTTGTAACTGCAAACACCACTGTAATGGTACTTTCAGAAATTCAAATCATCTGAGGTTTATGTAGCACGATTGATCATTAATTCCTTACTTAGCTCTCATTACCCCTTCAACTAATGAACATTATTTCTTGAATGTAGCTTGAAGGCATTTGAGATTTTTACCTTGCTCTCGTCAAAATCAAAGTCAATCAAGGAAGAAGCATCAGGAAGGGAGTATTCCTCCATGCATTTGTAACTGCTTAAAGACCAGAGGCGCATAACCTGATATTATTTTTACCCCAATCAATGTTAGTAAAATCACCTTTGTTTGGGAGGACGTATCTATTCTAGGTATCTGGGACTTATAAATACGGATCTATAGTTTTGTAACTTTTATCTTATCGTTTTAATTACTTTTCTTGGAGCTTAATTAGCCTTTTGGCTATATTCTAAACAGTTAGCTATATAAAACAAGAGACACAGAACATTTACCTTATCACCGACACCAGTAAGAAGCAAACCTTTCTTCATTCGACACTGAGAGAATCTGACGACATACAATCAACATTAAAACCATCTCATAAAAAAGAAAAGAAAAAAAGGAATAGTGAAAATATTGCGTCACCGGTGAGAGTGAGCTTCCCATCGCTCAACATCGATTCGACCTCTTAGTAAAGCCATCTTATGAAGTTTCATAGCGAAATCCTCAACGTCTATCTCAGGCGTCTGCTCCAGTGACGTGGACCCCAGCTGGTGCATCTTCCGGCATGAAGCTTGTAGCAGCTTCAGCTTCTTGATGACACCATACCTCGAATTTAAAAAATAAAAAATAAAAAAAGTGAACGAGATCGAATAAATTCGAGGGAGGGAGTTACCAGGAGTTACAGACGACGGTACAGTGAACGAGATCGAATAAATCGAGAAACGAGAAGATTATGCATAGTATGTCGCCGTCTAGTGATTCCATCGATGATATTGGTGCTCTTTGTCTCATCTTTCTCCCCGCCGACGACTCCCCCACGGTCTCTGTAATCCCCATCTTCTCTTTTTCTTTTGTCTAAAAACAGTATTTGATGAAAGTTATGTTTCTTTATATATTTTCCAAGTTGATACGATTGACCCCACTTGTCTTTCTCTAATTAAAAAAAGAACAAAACTTGGGTTTAACCCCTTGTGGTGAATTCTCTAATTCACTTCAACTCTTAAAACCAATCATTGGAAGCTGAAACATTGAAGAGAACTTATTGTTTTGATTTATTTCTTAGGTTTCTGGCTTCACAATCACGATTGAAGCTGATTTTGTCACCAAGAAGTTTGTATCCGTAGGTTGCGCTATTCTCTTCTATTCTCTTTCATGTTAAGAACATCAAATATTTAGAATCTCCATTAAAATAAGATATAGTTTTTCTATGTTATCTACGGTATTCTTTGATTGGAGTCTGTATTTTGCTATGTGGTTGCAATGGATAGTAATCATTCAAGTGGTCAAGAAACTGTTCTCTCTAGTCAGAATTAAAAAAGTTTGCAAGTCTTCAATGAAACCAGTTTGTTAAGTCAGAATTCTATGATCGAATAGCTACCTTTAATGAGCTATTCTACCTCTAATGAGCCAAGCTCAGTGCCTGCTACCCCAACTCTGTCAATCCAAAATCAGTTCCAGAAAACTAAGGACAATGTGTCTCAGAAGAAGCCTGAAGGGATCACTAAGCGACTAAGAAAGTTAAAAAACCAAGATACCTGCTGGTAAAGAAGGTAATAAAATACATTGTCTTTGAAAAGCTTGGGTCGTTCAACTGACTGATGGTGCTAAATGTTTTTTTCGTGTAGGTGCAGTAAAATATCTGAAGCAAATGGAGAACAAAGAAAACTCTGTGAGTAAAATCTTCTTTAGCTCAGAGGATCAAATCGCTTCTATATCTAAAAGAGACTAACACAAGCTTACCTCACTGCAGGTTGTTGTTGTTGGTGCAGGAGAAGAAGTCCAGGTTTGAATGAAGAACAGAGAAGCGTTTCTTCACATATCAATCAACTCTTTTTTTTTTCTTTTGGTTTGAATGCTTGTTTAAGGTACATAGTTGAAACGTTTTTGCAAGTTCAGTTTGAAAAAAGAAACAACAAATATTTTATTTGCTTGGTTTTGTAATTGTGTTATGTTTTTTTTCATCCTTGTCTCTTCATTGAGATGTTATGTTTGAGTTTGACTATTCATAGTTATCAAACATATTTCTCATTCTGAAACTTATGAATCCCATTTACTGCAATTACTCAACAGTCAAATACAAACTGAATCATATTTTTATACATAGCTCTGCTCCACGGTCTCCATTACTTTCCTGTTATATTTGATTTTGTTTAGTCTGAACAATCTAACCGCTTCTGAGTTTGTTGGCGAACTAAAGTTTGGGTCACAGAGCAGAGACTGTAAAAAGCAAACAAAAATAAGATCTTGGTTAGCTTATGCATAAACCCACAATGCATAAGACACAATGTGTAAGTTATAAACCTGGATTGATGTGAGTATCGCAAAAGCATTGTATATCGGACTCCATTGGTTCTGTAAGATATCCAAGCAAATGTTCCATTTTCATAAACTGCACCAAAGTTCCAAAAACCAAAGTTTGGTTTAAATGTTGAACATGAACTCATTTGTTGGTTTGTTAAAGTGAATTATTATATTTGGATGAAACATTCGTGAAACAAAACGAACTACTGGTGGTTTGTTCGTGTAGTCTTCAGTGAGCTGAAGGGTCAACTTAAAGGTACCTAACAGAGTATTAATATAGGCTTGGGTTAGTTTAGCTAATATTTTAACTCATGAAACACGTTGGCTTGATGCAATAAGTGTAAGTAATATAGATTTTACCAATGAAGACATTAGCACATATTCCATGAGATTTGATATCACTATGTTACAAGATGCCACAAGTCAATATGCACTCGTTAATAAAATTGGAGAAGATGGATTTGACGCAGTTTATAAGATGTTTATGAGAAGGTGAAATCAAAATTGGTTTTGAAAGCATAGAATTGGAGATTCTAACTTGACAAACAAAGCTTTCTGCTTTCGCTATGGGCGATGAAGAAGAAGCCTATGAACGACATTAACAAAGCACACAGTTCTCTTCTTTAACGGCGACATCTTTTTCACCTATTTTTCTTTTTTTTTATTCCTTCTTTTACTAATCCTACATAGCACAATGATTGGTTTTAAGAGTTGAAGTGAATTAGAGGATTCACCATAGGGGGCAAACCCAAATTTTGTTCTAAAAAAGAGTTGTTGTATGTTTTTAAGTTGGAACATTTTATGAATATATAATCTTGACCGTTAGACCACGGTGATTCCACACTTATTAACTATTTTATTATCGAGTTTAATGTGACAAATGGGTCCACAAATAACACAAGAAGATTTAACTAAAATTTTAATAGAATTACTTGTTATTTTATAATAATATGCACGTTTTAATATTATACACATTCATTCCACCACTGGATCAACATGAGAGTAATGAAATGTAACCGAGACCAAGACAAGATAGCTAGGCTGGTACAAGTTAGAAATCAGAGGGTATCAGGGAGAGGAGTATTACGAATAAAGCTTGTAAAGATAGTAAGAGCACGCATAGGCTGGTCAATAGGCACATCATGGCCTGATGCTCTCACAGTTGCAAACGTAAAATTTCCTTTATATTCCTCTGTGAAACCTCCCACCTCTCCCCCAGAAAACCACTGACGCCATGAGTTCTCAACCGTTAGATTCATATTCTTGATCACTTGAGCTGTACTGGTCACCGGAATCACCGAGTCCAAATCTCCACTGTAGACATAGATTCGAACATCCTGACCCATTATCTCGTGGAGGAGAGGAACCAATATTGCGTCTATATCCTCCTCGCTCCATAGATTCGATAGGGTATGGTTGCAAGGCTGCCACACGTACTGTAGTTTCGTGGACTTGACATTTATCGCTTTCTGAACCTTTTCACTGTTAAGATAAGTCGATACGTAGTGTTCGTTGCACGGATCATACACCATTACCGTGGTGCCTTTCTTGGGTTTACTAGTCAACGTTGCGTTTTTGCATACTGGAGCGTGTATGTTGTAAATGTCCACGTGTTTCAACTGAGCTTCTATTTTCTCAATCGCTTTGGCGCAGATTTGAAAATCAAAAGGCATTCCTGGGCATAGTCAAAGAATACATTAATTAGCTTTTGGTCCCAAATTTTCAGAGATAAATTTATAGAAATTTCCCAAAAATATCAGGACGTACGTACCTACTCCGCAGTTAACGTAGTCGTCCATATATTTTTGTGGAATCATAGCATGAGACACCATATATGGTTTCACACTAGTTGACTCAACCATGCGATCAAGAGCTGGATTACCAAGAAAAAGGCCTCTTAGGTTGATGAAGGTTTGCTTGTTACGTTGAAGGATAAGCTGAGCAAGTTGGGGACCATAGTGGCCAGCGTAGCTCTGACCGGAGATGTAAAACTCTCTTCCCTTGTACTCGGGAAACCTTTCCAGCCACTTCACCAAGAACATGTAGTTATCCTCTGCTGTCTTTTTGTCCGTTGGGTCAATCATATCCTCTGGAGTATTCGTGTACGAGAATCCTATGCCTGCTGGAGATTCTAAGTACAACACGTTCGCCTCTACAAACCCATACGTAATATTTCATGCTTGTTAGTATATATCTTTTGTTTTTCTAAGATTGTTAATATATCTCTTGTGATGAATATAATATGCTAAAGATTCTAATAATAGGTTTTGTAAGATAAGACAAGGTACCGTTGTTAAATGCATAAGGATTGCGAAAAAGAGTTTTGCCGTCGCTGTGTACACGGAAGGGTCCATGCTCCATAAGTGCCCCACGTCCTAGAGACGAGCATCCCGGTCCTGCGTTTTTTTTTTTTTTTGTATGAGTTTTGGGCCAAAGGACATTTAACTTTTTACTTGTTAATTCTCAGTGATTAGGGAAAAAGTACATGTTTAAAGGATCATCAGCAAGTGATGTTGAAAACTATTAGAAAACACATTATTTTCATGTTTTGGGAAGCTTCTAATTATAATATAGATATAATTGTTACCGAACAAATAGGGAATATAAATTGTTCCAATAAAAAGTGAGGTGTGTGTAATGTATATACACCAGTAACCTTTAGGGTTTGCAATGAATCCTTTGCATGTAATGTCAAGACGCAAGGAAAACTATTCCTTTTTTCTTTCAAGAAGGAGTATAAGAGTAACGGAAATGTTTACCTCCGTTGAACCAGAGCACTAGAGGAGCGGAGTCGCTGGCGTTGACGGCTTCCACGAAATAATAGTAAAAAAACCGTCCGTTTGTTTCGTTTACGGGTACAAAACCACCGTATTGTCTGAAACTAACCGGAGAACGTTGTCCGGGCAGCCATTTGATTAGATCTTTCTCCTTCTGTTCTTGTTGGTTTACACCGCCTCTAATCCCATTTAAATTGCTCCTACAAAGAATTTGTGATGCCAGAGACAAGAATAGGAAAACGTAAGCGGTCACGGACCAAACTTGGTTTTTTCCCATTCAATATCTCTGAATGTTTTGAGAAGTGGGAGAATGCTTTAGAGAAAAAGAGAGATGAAATTAAAGATTTTGAAAATTGAATGGCTACATTTTATAGGTTTTTTGTTTTTGTTTTTGTTTTTTTACAGCTATTTAACCATACACTGGAAGTTGTAAAGATAAGTTTTGTTTCCGCTGGTTAGAAAAACAATTTTCTGTTTTTTCTCTTTAAGTTAATAAGCTATTTTAGAATGAATCCTTGAATGATAATACATGATAATGTATTTATAATCACCTTAATGGTTTGAATATCAAATTATTGTGTTGTATGCCATGTGATCAGGCTTACAGCAGCCTCATCCCTTATATACTCTAAAAGTATATCAAACAAAAAAATTAGTATTACATATGATTTATTATTTTAAATAACTTTTAATTTTTTTTTGAAATACTTATAACATATCTATAATAATAAAGTACACTTATCTGCCCTCTCAAGCTGTCCACATCATTTTTGGTGATATGGGGTTTTTTGGACACGTCAGCACTTCCTCAGATCTTCGACGACATCAATTTTTTGTGTTTCCGTACTCTTTACATTCTTTTGTTTACGTTCTTTCATCTGGGCTTATATATTGTTTATCACCAAGCCCAATATTCTGTGTGTTTCTGCAGAAAAATGAAGTTCAATGTAGGTTATATCATCTTCGTTGTCATCTCCATGAAGGCCGCTTCGATGAACATACTGAAACACTTTGGATTTCCATTTATTTTCTCCTTTAATTCTAGCATTAACATGCTTCATCCCCACTCGCCCACTATGTAGTATTAAATTGAGGGCAGCCTCTTCGTATGTAACCGGTAGATGGCGTCCTATAAATTGGCATGGTTGCAGCAATGAACAGCGACGTACTGCAAGCTCTCCACCAATCTCTCCAGAAAATCTCATTTGCGTCACTTCTCTCCCACGAAGGTATAAAACATATTCTGACCCTGATCGGACCTATGAGTTTCCTAATTCTACAAATCTTATCTACATTTACTAAACTCTTTGACTTCCTTACATCTGACGGGCATCTGGGAATGTTGAGATATTATACCTGATGTAATCTCATTGCTTGGATTGATTCATAGTGTTTTTCGACAGTAATCGTGTAGACTAAAGATGGAAACTTTAGTTAGCTCAATGATGATTATGTAGCTGCAATTCCTTATTCATTTGCTTAGCTCTTCCTTCTTTTCCCTATCACACTATCTTTCTTCGACTAAAGCAATGTGATAGGATGTTTACCATTGGACGACCTCTCTCTGTGATGTTGAGATATTTTGATGACTCGATGCGTAGTGTTTTTTTTTTTGTTAGAGATGGATGATGAAAACCTTAGTAGCTCAAGAATGATAGTGTAGCTGCATTTTTTTCCTTGGAATTATAGTGCATAGACATGTTCGTTTTCATTAAAGACTGATGCCATAAAACCAGAGTAGAGGTTTCATTAATTGTTATGTGATTTTTGTAGAAGAAAAGAAGGGGAAGCTTGCTGAGATTAAGTATGTATTGGACGAGCTGGTGTCTTGGTATAATGGTATTTCCCTTTCTTTTGCTTTATGTGTAAATCTTTCTATTCCTATTTATTTTTTTTCTCTTAAAGAAACATACATATCTTCTGTTGTTTTCTATCTTGTAGATCCGGAAAATGGATCTTGAGGCAAGAAGTTTGCAGCAGAGTGCTGACGCTGTGTGTCTTTTTAAACTAAGAGAGTATAAAGCTGATAGTGACAAAAACAAAGCTGATCTGAAACCAGTTGAAGAAAGATTTCAAACGAATGTCGTCGCCAGATGTCAACCAGTCTACATGTGAAGAACTAATGGAACCCGGAATGGCAGATGTATATGCAGTAAATGGTTAAAAAAAAAATCTTGCAATCACATTTGTTAGTTTCCATAAGTTTAACTCGCACCATCTTGGCTTTTTTTTTCTAAGTGTTCTTGCTCTTCAGCTTTGTCTAAACGTAATCTTTGATGCCATAGATGTTAGATTTTGTTGTCCTTTCAGCTACCAGCTGATCAGAGTGGAAGATTTGTAATGTCAATGGAGAGGATTCACCAATCAAGCGACAGAATCAGGGAGAGTAGAAAATTAATGCTGGAGACAGAAGAGGTCGGCATCTCAGTTGTTGAAAATCTGAGTCAGCAAACGGCAGACCCTCCTTCTCGCTCACACTTACAATTAATCAGAAACTTCTTGGGTATTGTTTTGGTATCTATCAGTAGATCATTGAGGAAAAACTAACACTTTGGGATTTGTGTAACAGCTTCAGGGTGTGGATGATGCCATTGACAAGAGCAAGAAAAAGTTGACCATTATGTCAAGAAGAATGACGAGGAACAAATCGAGCGTTGAGTGGCTCTCATTCTCGCCATTATCTTGATCATCTCATACAAGGTTTCTCATTACAATACTCAAGTACAAACACATAAATTCATCGTGATTGTGCATATATTATGGTTGATTCTTTTTTAATGGGCCCAAGTGTTTACTTGTGTCCCAAACAATCATTGTGTTTGGAGTGTAAATACTTCAAAAAAATTATTATGTCTTCCTAAGTCCTTTAAAAACGTCAATATCTATGGTGTTCTGCATCTAACTACAATAATTTATGCGTTAAAGCTTAAGGCTTGAAGGGAAGAGGTCCTATGTTAAAAGAAATGACTTCGATTGAGCGTTGAAACAGTTATGTGGCTGTTTACGAGTCTTAGACACTTTGTTGGATTTAATTAAGACAGTCAAAGCTAATAATGGTTCTTAAGATTCCGCTTTTGCTTTATTAAATTAAAAACCCAAAACCACAATTTTCACAAATAATGCAATGGACTTCCAAAGAAATTATAGGACCAAGATCGCTAAATTTCACTCATAATTTTTTCCAATAACAATTCACCCTCTCTAAATATGTCAAAAGCATGAGAAGAGTGCTACTAAACAAAATAAAAAAAAAATCTCACCACCATTCTAGAGCTAGAAAATAAAAATTTAGTACCAACATCAACACAAAAGAACTTCAAACACATACCACATATTGTGATATACAATCAAACACATAATTGATATACTTTTAATCAAACACTCTTACGTAAATATTTAATAATTACCACACATATAGTTAGAATTTAATTTACTTTGTAATCAGTTTAAAATCAATTATGCTGACATGATAATCATCTGGATATATCTTTATGTTTTTGAAAAATAGTTTATTTTCTAATATACCATGGAAATATTGTTTAAACTTATAAAATAACATAAAATGTGTATTAACAACCAAACCATATATTTAAACTAGGGGTTTACCGGCGCTACGCGCCGGATTTTATAACATATTTTAATTTTTTTTATACACAATCAAATATATAATTGGTTGTCAATATGTATCTTTACATAGTTTTATAAATTTAGATAAATATTTTTATAATATCTTAGAAAATAATCTAGTTATCTTTTTTATTTGACAAAAAGTAAAGTATTTATCGAAAATATGAAGATATATTAATTTGATTATCATGTCAGCATAATTGATTATAAGATGATTGCAAAAGAAACTAAAATCTAAATATATGCATGCTAATTTATCAAACATTTACATAAGAGTTTTTTTTTTTTTTTGTCAAACACATAAGAGTATTTTTACTTTTGAATTAAAATATGTTACATTTGAAAGACTTTGTTATAACTTAGGCTTAATTTATAATTTTGGACTGCATTATACAAAAAAGTAATTAACATATGTTGTATATAATTTTTACACAATATCAACAATGAGATATGATAGTAAACATATTTAAAATCTTAAATTTGATAAATTATTGTTAGTTAGATAAACAGCCTTCTTTATTTATAGTTTATTTTTCAGGTGGTTATCATGTAGTCATTTAGAGTATAAGGTTGGAGAAGTATGAGTAAAATGTAGCAGCTGGTGGAAAAGTGCACAAACATAAAACTATTAAAAACAAAAACATGCCAAACAAAATGTAGTGCATTAAAAAGCAGAAATGCTGGAGTTGAGGTTGCCAATATGAGCTTAGATGCTTAGGCAGTGGCATTGAGAAATGCTTGGCTTCTTCCCCTCATGCTTCTCCTCCTTTAAATGGTTCATTCTCAGTTGTTTTAATCCACCTGAGACAGATGGAAGAGCAGGCTCGACAGCACTTCCATCAAACATTCCAGTGGCATATCCCTTATCCCTCAGCTGTTTTCTCACGAATCCAATTATAAAACCATCAGTAGGGTTAATTTTAACCACTCCAGCTCCAAGCATGTAATCACGAGGATGGTTATCATCTCCCAGCACATTAACAAAATACCAGAGGGGAGATGTAAATGACTTACAAAGCAGGGATGAGTTATAGTGCGCACCTGTGGCTATGAATGCATTAGGCTCATCGGTGGTTAAATTTTCATATTTCTGGACACCCTCCCCCCCTTGAGCGCTCCTTATTGATGCACTTCCTGATGATTCTAAATAGTCAAAGGCATGGGACGTTAGTATGATAACTGGCTGCTTGTAAAATTTAAAGTCATAAATACTTACTATTCAACGAAGTTTTGGCTAGCTACACGGTCTTTGACTCTTTGTTGATATAGAAATGTGTCCCAGATGTAGCATTTCGGAAAAGACGACCTGAAAGCATATGAAACCCAAAGTAGGGTGTGAACAACAATCATATATATATATATTGCATATCAATTAATGTGTATATTTGTCACCAAACTTTCATCTCTCACATTCCTCGTGAAATTTTATAATAAAGATTAGTATGGGATATTAAGTTACTAACCTTTTCTTGGTACAATGGCAACGACTTGAGGGAGATGAGTTACACCTTTTGGATCGATATAACCCCTTCTCTTCACTGAAACTAATGAAAACAGAGGCTTACCACTTGAACCCGAGACCTGAGATCGAAGGGTTAGTTAACACAAATCATGATGACATCTGGTAACTCTTAGTGAACATCTATGAGAAGACATGAACGACTTTGCAGGGGGGACAGGTCGCGTCGTTGACAACAGTGGTTGTGGCTCTTGTGGTCTCCCATTAGCTGTAGAAGATGAACCGTTATTTGTTGTATGACTGTGGTTGTCTGATTAAGGAGGACGCCGCGTCCGACCACCATACACTCTTTTTTTGTCTAATTAACACAACATAGATGGATATTGCTTTTGTCCCTGCCTTCTATGTTTCCAATATCTCCCCCTGCCTTCAGTGACCCAGTTATCTTAGTTTAGTTCTCCTACGATGGTTGTTTTTTTAGAAACTCCTTAACGCCGTGAATTCCAACAAACGTAGCTTCTCTCAAGGCGGGTTCTTCCATTTTTGTAGAAAAACTGCCGTCTCCTCCTTTGTCTCTTCCGCCACAGTATATGTTCATCATAAGCTCCATCACCATACCTCACAAAAAACACACCACTATGATCCTTAAAGAAAGTCGAAACTATATAATAAAAACACGATTTCAAAGCTTTTTCTGTATTCTTCCTCCTCCTTGGAGTTGTTGAAAGATGATGATGATCAGCACCGAGTAAATCTGAGAAAAGAAATGAAACAGTGAGTGAATTTAATCGATAATATGGTTTCTCTCACTTAATGGATAAAATGAATACTACTTGGTATAAACATGTAACTGCTTGGATTAAAGTCACGTATAAATTAAAACTGAAGAGGTTACAGAGAGCTGGTCGGAGGCGGCGTCATCTGACGGCTGACGGCGCTCTATGATCTCAATCTCGAGCTCCTGAAATTGTTAATACCCTATACATATCTGGGCCTTCACAAAACATTGACATAAAAGCCCAAATAGAAGACAATATCTGGTAAGAAAATGAAACAATTGGTTCATATGGGGTTTGTGACAAACAAAAAGTAAATTATAAAATTAGTAGAAGCCACGTGTCTTTTTTCCCCCAAGGGAGAGAAAAAAGTGAACTTTATTATTAAAGATTATGTATCAAAATAACTAAATAAGATTATAAAACCGGCGCTACTTATCATTTATATAATTAGAATTTTATTTATTTTACAATCAGCATAAAATCAATTACGCTAACATAATAATTAAATTAATATATTTTCATATTTTCGATAAATAGTTTATTTTCTAAGATACCATGGAAATATTTTTAAATTTATAAAATAACATAAAATGTGTATTAACAACCAAACCATATATTTAAATTATGTATCAAAATACCTAAATAACGTTAGAAAAACCGGCGCGTAGCGCCGGCATACCACTAGTGAGAAAGAACATGAAGTTTTTTCCAAAGGTTCTTAAATGAAACTCCGTCTCATTCTATTTCTTCTCTTTTCGTTATGAAATAATACTAGGATAGGTCCGGGATATATGAGGTACACTAAATTGTATCAAATCTATATTATTCAGTGTCATTTTATTGTTCTATACACTTTAGTCACATTAGGTAATTTCGTAATATTTATTTAAAGATAAAATTACAAAATTTAAGAATTAAGTTATAGTTAATGTAAAAAAAAATTATTATATATTTAGATGAATCAATCTATTTCTCTAAAAATTTTAAAAATCATTGTGGTGAAGGATACCTTAAATGTTATAATATTTTTTTTTGTAATATATAGGGAATTATCTAAACTATCCACCTAATACTCATAAACTAACTAAACAAGACACGGTAAGGAGGGACCAATCAGTCCACAGTATTCTTCCGTTTCTGATAATGTTACCTTCCATCACAAAGTGACTCCACACGTAAAAAAGAACTAGATTTTAATCCGCGCTTGAAAGCACGGAAATTTTTATAATTAAAAAATTATATAATTGGGTTTTTGTCTTAATTTAAAGAATGTTTTGGTATAAAATCAGTTTACCAAAATTTGTTTTGATGATTGTTTTTCATTAGTTTTTAGTTTCAATTTTTATTTTTAGATTTTGTTTTAGATTTTGATTTTTTGGGTTTTAGTTTTTAAGTTTCTATTTTTGATTGCAGCTTTTGGTTTGAATTTTTAATTTTTAGATCCGCTGAGTTAGTTTGAACTGATATTACTAACAAACAAATCTCAAATAATCGAACATCTAATTTAAAACTGAAAAGATGACAAAACTTTTTTTTAAAAAAAAAATTGTAATATTTTATTTTGTAAATAAAGAAAAGCAAAAAATATAACTTGCGTTTTCAACTTTTAGTTTTGGATTTTAGTTTTTAGATTTTTAGTTTTTGGTTTTGCTTTACATACTTTTTTAAATCAGTAAATTATTTAAGAAAAATAAAATAATATATTATTTAAAGGTTACCATTGAAATTTATCAAAAAAGGGATTGTTATTTAAAATAAAAAATACATTATCATGTTTTTAAGTACATGATTTAAATAAATGATTAATAATAGACAATTTTGTTTTGTTAAAAAACTTAAATACCTTTTGGGCCTGAAAAAATAATTGATTTTTTGACCCATTAAGGTGAAAAGTTTATTCAATGTTTTTTTTTGAGTTTTTCCTTAATATTAAGCCCAAAAACCAAATCATATAATCTAAAATATTAAAACTGAAGTACAAATAGAGAATAACCCTGACTTTTCCTAAAAAATTACAATCTCATGCCACTGACCAATGCACAGTCGTTTTATAAGATTTTGACATATTTTTTTCCTGTCAACCTTCGACAGATCCTTATTTTTGGTTTCTTGGTTCAATTCCTAAACCATTCATTCGTCAAACCATCTAATAAATCAATAAATAAACCAACGGTAACCTTACGTAATTCTAGACAAAATTGAAGTATACCTATAAGAAAATAAAATTATCCCCACAAGGACCTGTCATTTTCATTCCCTGTTATGCAATCCGTATAACTTTCTTCTACACCTAGAAAGTCAACAATTTGGTATAACGGAATATCAAATAACTTAATGTTATGTTAATATTTTTTCCGTGTAACTATTTTTAATTGGTTTTGTATCATGGTTTGGTAGTTGACCAAAATATTACTTTAAACCACCCAACTTAAAAGAATTTTCATTCCAAATTGAAAACCTACTTTTAAGGAAGACCTTCATAATTATAACAATATCAATCACATATGATATATTGAGTTCTTGCCAATCATGTATTCTTAGTTGTTAAAAATATATTCTGGTTATTGAAATTTCCTATTTCTACGAAAGCCTAATAACTATTTCAATATCAATCTCCAATATATATATTCGATTCTTTCAAATCATGTAATTTTGGGTTGTTTGAGAAGAATATTCTTCTTACTGTTATATTTTAGAGATAAGGAATATGTATTTAATATTTTCAAACGTATATTCATATTCCAATGCCTCAAAATCACAACTAACTAAATCTTTCATGCTAAAATCTTTTCTAACCTATCTCCACGATTTCCCAACTATATATATCTCATCTCCTATTACTTAAAAACCATAACTTAGACCCTTTATAAACGAGAATTCGACCAAAAAAAGCACCAACTTTGCACGAATTGCCAAAAGAAACCTGTACTCGAGCCTGGCCAAAAGAAACATGAACTTTTGTTGACTTTATTAGTTTATTAAAAAACTTACGATTGACTTGCCATTTTAACACACCGTTAAAGATCAGTTAAAACGGTGTTAACAGACGTTAACTGTTAACGTTAGGATGAAACGACGTCGTTTTCAATTGAGATGAAACGACGTCGTTTTTAGCAATTTGAAAATAAAAAGACGTACACCCCTGGATTCGAACCCGGGTTGTTTGGATCAAATGGCAAAGTAGTTTACCACTGTGCTAGTGACACATTCAATGTAACTACTAACACGTTTAGTTATATTTGGTACTGATTGAATATAAAAAAAAATTCTATAAAAACTTTAAAAAATATTTAAAATTTCAAAAAAATGAGAAATGAAGAATTTTTTTATAAAATTAATTTTAAAATTAAAATTAAAATAAAATTTTATTTTTCTTTAAAAAATCAGACGGGGACTTATAAAATTTTATTTTTCATTCAATATATCTATTAACACATTTACTTATATTTGGTAATGTTTGAATATAAAAAAATTCTAGAAAAAATTCAAAAAATGAAAAAATAAAGAATTTTTTTTATAAAATTAATTTTAAAATTAAAATAAAATTTTATTTTTCTTTAAAATAAAATTTTGGAAGATTTTTGATTTTTTAAAGAAAATAAAATTTTATTTAAATTTAATTTCAAAATTAATTTTATAAAAAAATTCTTTATTTTTTCATTTTTTGAAATTTTAAAGATTTTTTAAGTTTTTATAGAATTTTTTTATATTCAATCAGTACCAAATATAAGTAAATGTGTTAGTAGATACATTGAAAGAAAAATAAAATTTTATTAAATCCCGGCTGATTTTTTTCAAGAAAATAAAATTTTATTTTAATTTTAATTTCAAAATTAATTTTATAAAAAAATTCTTTATTTTTCATTTTTTGAAATTTTAAAGATTTTTTAAAAGTTTTTATAAAAATTTTTATATTCAATCAGTACCAAATATAAGTAAACGTGTTAGTAGATACATTGAATGTGCCACTAGCCCAGTGGTAAATTACCTTGCCATGTGATCCAATCAACCCGGGTTCAAATCCAGTGGTCTACGTCTTTTTATTTTCAAATTGCTTAAAACGACGTCGTTTCATCTCAATTGAAAACGACGTCGTTTCATCCTAACGTCAACAATTAACGACGTTAATTTTTTCTGTTAAATTTGTTGACGGCGTGCCAAATTGGCAAGTCAACGAAAACATTGTTAATTAATTCTAAAGTCAATGAAAAGTTTATGTTTTTTTTGGTCAGCCCAAAAGTTCGGGTTTGTTTTGGCAATTCGTGCAAAGTTGGTGTTTTTTTTGGCCGAATTCTCCTTTATAAACCATAACGAAACCAAACCTAAGCATGTCTATGACCACTTTTACACCTCTTTCAAAGCTCAGACCCTTTAAATCCAATTGGCCTTCAAAATGTTTTTAGCAGATGAGTGGGTGAGTTTCTTTTTAAAACAGCATGTTCCATTTTTTCAGGATGAGGAGATACTTATGAATTTGTTTTTATAGATATTACTTAATAACTTACAGTATTCAAAGTCTGTTGTGAAGGCTATTAGTGTTCCTTCCATTTGCTCTATTACTTTA